GGGCTCTGATAAAATAGGATGCATGTTTATCATCCTTTCCCATAAAGGGCATCTCCTGATGGGAGGAGCATCCTTTCTTCACATTGACCATAATGAGAGCAATAATATGGGGGGGGGCAGATATTCTGTTCTTTGTATTCAGGAGTAGATGGGCCACATCACAGTCATACTTTGGAAACAGAAGGTCCCATATTCAATCCTTCTCGATTTTGGAGGGCTGGAAAAGTCCTCTGCTATTGATTTAAATTAGCTACTGCCAATTGGAAAAAAAAGCAAGCAAGATCAGTTGGTCTGATATGATGTGAGAACAATTCTTATTACAAATATAGACCTTGATCTGGTTTGTCCTTGTTCAGTCAAGGGGACAAAATGAAAAAAATTCCATTTGCCCAAGTGGAGTATAAACTGGGCACTTGAACTGGGTTTGTCTTTCAGAAGGGATTAGTAGGTGTACACAGGAGTACAATGGAAAAAGATGCTTGATTTGTGCATACATACATCACTTGCATGTCAGATATATATATATATATCCACAGTAAGCAAATTGCCTGCTGTTGATACCTGCTGTCAGCACTTAATACAGCTAAATCAGTAAGGAGACATTGAAGAGTTGATAGTGTTGAGATGGAAAATTCATTTTCATCTCTTTTTACAGAACATAAATATACTTCATGTACAACTATAAAATTGTATTATTTGAGTTTTGCGTTTGCATTTTCCCTATCAAATGGATTTTCAGGTGAATCTTTGGAACAACATAGATCAGTTCCATCTTTTCAACAATGTAATAAGTACAGCAGAGACAGGAACATCGCAAGGGCATCAGCAGATAAGCAACGATGGTGTAATTTTAATTTAGAGGGATTGGGGAGGGGACTTGACTTTGTTTTTAATTGCATGGTGCTGATCTAGGGCAGCACTAAATCTCCCTGTCCCTGTGTGATGGCAGGACCCAGGAAATGGAAGGGAATGGATTTCTGTAGCACTTGAGGGAGCATAAAACACCACCAGGGGGGTTTGGGGTACTCGCTGTTCCTGGAAGAGATGATCCAGATGATCCAGACACCATGCACTAGATTGGATCTCAAAGTCAGAGACAAAGATCCAGCTAGGCAGGAGGAGATCGGATCTCAATCACTCCTCTGTGCCACTGAAGAAAAAGCCACAGTGCTCACTTCCCCAGTGCTGTAGCTCCAGCCACACAATAAATAAGCAGGTGTTTATGGAGGCCATGTTATGGGTGAATCAGAGCAATCTCTGAATATATAAATCATATTATAACATACACCATACAAAAATAGAATAAAAAATAAATAAAGGAAGAACGAAGAGAAAAATCAAGTGTTAGCTGGAGGGAAGGCCTGAATGTATAACCATGTTTCTAGTTGACTTTTAAAAGTGCCCAGAGTGGGGGCCGCGCGAATCTCAGGAGGGAGACTATTCCAGAGGCAAGGAGCCACCGCCAAGAAGGCCCGGTTTCGTGTCTTTTCCTTCCGGGCCTCTCTCGGTGGCCAAAGTCATCTTCCATGGCCCTAATTGGGGAAGCAATTAGACCAGGGCAGTAGCTGTTCTAAATGCAGGAATGGACACAGTATAGCCCTCCTCCTCTGGTTGGATTGCGGCTCCCAGCGTTCCTTACTGCAGCAATACTGAATGTAGCTGATGGGAACAGAAATCTGAAAAGGTCTTGATTGTTGCACGTTGTTATTCCTGGACTAAATGTTTCCCTCATGTTACTTACCAACAAGAGAAATCAGTAAAACCTTTACACAATTGTTGAAGAAGGGAGCATTTTGCATCCCTCATCCTTCCTAGCAGAAAATTGGCATCAGAGCCAAAGGGCTGCACTGCTGGTCATCAAGGCCACTTGCAGCTGGCCAACGGTGATGCTGGAGGCTTTACAATGGTGGCCTCAAATGTCCCTCTTCCTAGAGCGTTGGCAAAAGTAATGGGGAAAAAGAAAAAGTGGGAAGGAGCAGAATATTGTAGCACTCTATAGAGTCTCATATTTATTTCAGTGTGAGCTGTCATGGATCAAAATCCATTTCTTCAGGCACTGGGTGAGTTATTAATGCCTACTGGCCTCTATAGAGTCTCATATTTATTTCAGTGTGAGCTGTCATGGATCAAAATCAATTTCTTCAGGCACTGGGTGAATTATTAATGCCAACTGGTAGCAGCTCTTCAACGTTTGAGGAAGGTTATTTTCCAGTGCCACCTGTAGATACTGGGATTTGTACCTGGAATGTGAAGGGCTCAAAAAAAAACCTCCCAGAAATTCAAGGGAAAACACAAACTTCTATAATGGAGGAGGAGCTCACACTGAAATAAATGTGTTAGTCTTTCAAGTGCTACAGTCTTTTGCCTTTCTCCCTTTAACTTTTCCCAGTATGCTGAGATAGGCCAACACTGCTACTTTTTGGAAACCTCTTCCTAGGGTTGTTACATGGGATTAAAACATGGATGCGTTCACCCAGCCATCACCAAGATATGTGGCCATTATGCCCCATCTTCAACTCACACTGAAATAAATGTGTTAGTCTTTCAAGTGCTACAGTCTTTTGCCTTTCTCCCTTTAACTTTTCCCAGTATGCTGAGATAGGCCAACACTGCTACTTTTTGGAAACCTCTTCCTAGGGTTGTTACATGGGATTAAAACATGGATGCGTTCACCCAGCCATCACCAAGATATGTGGCCATTATGCCCCATCTTCAAGAAGAGTCTTCACAAACACCCCTCCACTACCTCAGAAATTCAGCTGGGGCTTGGAGAGCTGATTTTCGTGGCTTCCCTCCTACCTTAGGGAAAACACAAACTTCAATAATAAATCACCAGCTTTTCCACTAGGTGGCGGTGTTGATATGGAACAAATTCAAAATCTCTACAAATCATCTTCCCCATTTGCCCAAGTCCTGAATTCTATTACCTGTGTACAAACAAGTATTCCTTCTTGTTGTTACTTTTCATAAGAGTAAAAGTAGCAAAGTTTTTTTTTACATAAATGATAACATAAATGTTATTGGAATGGTTAACCACAAAGCACAGAAGTATATGTTAAATTGCTCAGTAGCAAAACTACATTCTTGCTCATTCACCAGCAGAGAAAATGAATATTAAAGAAATTAATACTCTAGTCTGGGGCAAATGGTTCCTGCATACATGTGTCTCATTTGGCTACTATGAGGGCAAATGAATGAAGTCTTTGAAAAAATGTTGCGTTTGTGGTGATGACAGGAAATGTGAACATTCTGCCACTGCTGCTAAATCTGCAGTGGCAGATTACATGTAAACAAAGTGAAAAATCCTTCCTCTCATCTCTTTTTCGACCTCCCATGGAACATGTGGGTACAGCTGGAAGCTGAGGTCCTGTGTAGTATTTAGAGAGGACTCCTCTTCCCATGTAATGTATTTTGTATAACCAACCAGGAGGCTCACCAGACTAGAAGTCTAACCAAGGAAATCTGGGTTCTTGCTGGGTTGCTTGGTGCCAGTCCCAATTACCAAGCTGACTATCCCTCATATTTCCTTTATAGGTCTTGTTTCTTCCTGTCTCCAGGACGTGTAACTCTGGTATTCACCCCTTTGGCACTTCCGTGTCTTTTCCCCTCTTCAGTCTTATTCATCTCTAGCCCATCTCTATGTCTGTGTCAGAAAGAGGTCCAACAGAGGTTAAGGCTGTGCATTTGAAATCTGACTGAAGCTAGACAGATGGACCTTCAGATATGCCAGAAAGTCTGGAATTTTGGCACTGGGACCCACTGGAAAAGTGGAACATAGGTCAGCCTGGCAGTGGTCACACATCCAGGTCTGAGGGAGAGGATCTACCGAAGGAATGGCAATGGCAGTTTGCTTTTCACAGTGTACCAAGAGCATTGTTCTTATTGTGGTCCTTAGAGCAGTGCAGCTATTGTCTCCCTGACAGACAGAAAGCCTGAGGGTTCGTCCATGTCATCATCATCTTAGAACTGCAGAGCTGGAAGGGACTTTATAGATGGAGTCCAGCCTCTGTCAAGAAGACCCAGTGGGAAATTGAACTCACAGCCTCTGACTCTGCAACCAGATACCTAAACCACTGTGCTATCTAGCAGTTCCCTAGCCTCAGGCTGTTATGCTCCTTTCCTCTTCACCTCATCAAGGAAGTGTAGAAGTTTATTTAAATGGCATGGTTGACAGATTGGAGGATTCACCCATTTGAGTATGCACAAACATTTTCTGGAATATTATATATAAAAAAATTCAATCAATCAATCAATCAATCAATCAATCAATCAATCAATCAATCAATCAATCAATCAATCAATCAATGGTTGACAGACTAGAGGATTCACCCATTTGAGTATGCACAAACATTTTCTGGAATATTATTATTATTTAAAAAAGCAATGACCACATTGCTTTTATCCACATTCTAGGCCTTTGTTATGACATTGTTAGGCTGCTTGTGTGATGGCAAAGTAACAAAAGTCTTTAGAAACATAACTGATATGTATCGTTCTTCTGTCTGTTTTATTGGAAGCAGTGCTCTTCAAATAACTCAGTTGTTTAAGTATCTGGCTGTGGAGCCAGAGTTTGGCAGTTTGGTTCCCCCCTGTGCCTCCTTGGGAGGGGCTGGTCTTGAATATCCATAGGGTCTCTTCCAGCTCTGCAGTTGTGAGATAAGAGATAAGGCACTCTAGACAGATGATCTAGTCTAGAAAAAGTTTCAGTAGTCCTGTGATGTGATTATTTGATATCCTGTCTTATGTCCTAACTCCGTTCATTATTTAAACAAGAAGAAAGAGACGTTATAGAATTTGCTACCAATTACATAGCAAATTAGTTAGCTAGTTGGAAAAACAGACCTACTGTGGGCTATTATATGAACAGGTGGTTTGAAGGGGAAGAAAGTGTCAACTAGTGAAAAGCTGATTCAGTCATCTGGTATTTATACTGCACTTCTGGTTTTAAAAGATACGTATTCTATGACAACTTCATTCAGCTTCTCCCTTTGATTTTTCAGGTCCGTGTATTTACCTTTTCTGTTGGTCAACATAATTATGACAAGGGACCTATTCAATGGATGGCCTGTGAAAATAAAGGTATTGTACATTAGTATTACTCTGTCACAGCATGACAGCTCAATGCCATCTAGGTTTCTTTCTCTTTTCTGCTTTTGTTCAGGATTGGTTGACTAAAAGTTGGGAGAAACACTCAATAAAGGATGAGATCTATGTAGTTTTCCAATCCAATAAAGGATGAGATCTATGTAGTTTTCCATTCCTCTGTTTCCCCTCTCTCTCTCTCACACACACACACATACACACACACACACACATTTCACACACATATTTCACACACATTTTCTCAATTCCACACACACACACACACATTTCACACACATTTTCTCAATTCTGTTGGTCCAGTCATGTTCTTTAAGATAAGCAGTGCCTTGAGAAGCCCTGAAGAAGCAATATATCTTGGATCAGTCCTGACCTTCAAATCCCAGGATCACATGGACAGACTAATCTGGAAGGACCTTTGGTATCAGATCTTATGCTTCTCAGCCAATAATGTTTGAAAGACCTACCCCCATTGCCTCTACACTTATCTTTGTAGTCGGTACTCCAATTCAGGTGCCTTCATGTGCAGTACAGTTTTGCAACAAAACTTCCAATTCTGTTCTTTGTTTATATTTCAGGTTACTATTATGAAATTCCTTCCATTGGTGCCATAAGAATAAACACACAGGTACTGTTGCAGCAGTTATATGAAACAGTAATCAGATTTTTTTTTTCAGTCATGAGAACAACTCATGATAATGCACTGAAAGATGTAGGAGGAAATGTGAAAGAAGAAAGCGGCAGTCCATTTAGCTCTGTTCTGTCCACCACTTGCTTTAGCCTCATCTTCCTCTAGCATGTTATCCAATAAATTACCCATAAAAAGAATGAGGTTCTTGTTGTTTTTAAAGTTCCCTAAAGGTCTACCTAGGACAGCTATATTGTTGGCTGCAAAGCATCCTGGCACAATTGATTCTAGTCAGAAAACTTTCCACCTGAGTTTTATTCTTGGAAGCTGGCTCAATAGTTTAGTGAGATGGAAAGGTTAGGAGTTCAGTTCTCCACTGTGATTCCTGGGAGAAGATCGAGCTGTATCACCTTGGACATGTTGTGCAGTCCCAGAGCATACCCAGAAGGAGAGAAGGGTAAACCATATCTAAGTACTTTCTACCTAGGAACCCTGAAAAGGGTCACCATAAATCAAAATTGTCTTGATGGCATGTGATTAGTGATTCTTACACATACGAATCAGCACTACATAATACCTTGATCAGTGAACCTCTGTTTGCTTTCTTTGACAGGAATACCTGGATGTCTTGGGGAGACCAATGGTCCTGGCTGGAAAACAAGCCAAACAAGTCCAGTGGACCAATGTTTATTTGGATGCATTGGTATGACATATGCTGGCATGACATCGTTGGCGGCAGAATTTGAAAATAAAATTGGGGAACTGTGTGCGCGAATGGTCTCCAGAATGACTGAGGAACTGGGTGTGTGGATCTGTGATAGTGATTAGCAGCAGCAGCAGTGGTTCCAGTTTGTATATCTCATGGGCACGAACCAGAAAGACAGTGGTTTGTTTCTAACGACAAACCACAAACTATCACAATCCCACCCCCAAAATGAACTGGTTCGCAGTTTGTTTTTCAAGTTCAGTGCTGGAGGGTCGTAGGAAATAAGGCTTAAAGGAACCAGGCAATATAGCCTAGAGAAAATGTTTGTGAGAATTTGGCCCTCATTATCCTGAAGAATTGGAAGGAATTACTGAAAGAAGAGTAGCTACCATTTCCTTCAGCAGAAGAGAAGAGCCAAAGGAGCTAAAAATAATATTGGCATGTGGCTTTATGTTTTGGAAAGGCATTCCATCTAGGTACTTTATGAGCCTTTTTCTTGAGCATTGGATGGGTGCACGCTGGGGTACTTTAAGTTAAATGCAGCCTTTCTCAAGAGTACAGAAGGCACCAGACAATCCTGAGACTTCATAAGAGTAACTCATTGTGTCCATGAACATGTGCACATGCACACGTCTGTATGTGTTTTGTTCAGTGCGTTTTTATAACTGAAGGAAAGGGAGAGGAGGAGGAGAGAGCTAGATCAAGAGAGATCAAGAGAGAGACTGAAGATTAAGTTCTACCAACATTCAGCTCCATTTCCATCTGTAGTGCTATTGCTTCTCCTTGAAACACTTAAAAGTAAAAAGAGAAATAAATGCTTATAAGCAACTAAACAGTGTGTCTGTCACTGTGCCATATCTATAGAACAGACTCTAGATATGGGACTAAGGCAAAAGGCTTTTGGATAGAAGGTGGTCTTTCCAGACTCTCCTGAGTTCTAGTCCTTTTTTCTATAAATAAAACACTGCTTTTATTTTGAGAAGTATACTAAACAAGTCTACGGCTTTTGGATAGAAGGTGGTCTTTCCAGAGAGTTCTAGTCCGTTCTTCTAGAAATAAAACACTGCTTTGATTTTGAGAAGTATACTAAACAAGTCTATATCTTTTCTCTCTGAAGAACTAGAAACTGTTCATTTATTTGAATGGTTCATGTAAACAGTTTGATTAAAACTGTTTAGGAATCATGGTTCTACCTTAAATCCTCTTTTGGTTAAATGCCTGTGTAGGATCAGGGCCAAGATATGTTTTTTCAGCTTTGCTCAAGAGAGCACAACCCAGCATCTTCCTGGCTGCTTTGTTTATCACTGAAGACATGTACAAATGCAATATGCGGGAAGCTACAGCTATTGTTATGGGAAAATGTTTTGCAGCTTGGAGATAACCTTGATACACAAATGTCAAATCTTTCCTTAGTTACTGTAATACAGATTGGCAAGCTGTAGTTTGTGCCCACGTGACCGGTTGTAATTCCATCTCTTCTTGTTGGGATTATAATATGCTATCTTCTTTCTTTTAAAGATCAGTCTATTATGAACTGTCAGTGGCAAGATGGGTCAATTTTTTTTGTGTCATTATAGTTCCGATGGTCAGAAGTTCATTGACCACCAGTTCTTGGTTGCTGATGAGGTACTAACTGGAAATGTCATGGAGAAAATTCGTATCTTCCTACACATCCTGTTCTTAAATGTCAATTCTAAAGCAAGAATGTGCAAGGAGAAAAGGAAAGCTGAGGAATGGGCAGTGCAATCAAAACAAAACGATTATGTAACCATTGTACTACTTCATGTTTTAATGAATTCCAGAAGGAATTTGGATCTAATTTATATTTATTTTGCCTCCAACAATAGAAAGCAAAGGAATTATATAAATACACTAGGGCACAGAGAAAGTATCTAAGAGAAGATCAGCTTTCTTGTGGCCCAGTCTTAATGATCTCTTACAGCTACAGCAGTAGGAGGTTTGGATATAAATATTATCAGAGCTTGGGGAAGTTACTTTTGTGGTTTGCAGTTCTTAATTAATTATAGGAGTTGTGGTCCAGAAAATGCTTTCTCCACGTTCCAGATATAATGGCACATTATCCTGTCCCACTTTCCAGCAAAATAGCACTAAAGGCCACCTACTGTTTCTGGAAGCAGCAAACAAAATGATCCATTGTTGAAGTTCCATCATGTTGCTTCTGGCATGTAGCAATCCTATGCATTAAAGAGCCTTGCAAATGCAAGACCGTGGTTCCCTTTATGTAGTCAGTCCATCTTAGAGGAAGGGCAGGATCTGTTCTTCACCAGCCCAGAGTGCAGGACATGTGATAATGGGCTTAAGTTAAAGAAAGCCAGATTTTGACTGAATACCAGGAAAAATGTCCCAACTGTTATGTAGAGCAGTACAACAATGGAACCAAATACCTTGGGAGGTGGTGAATGAATGCTCCAACATTGGAGGCATTCGAGAGCAAACTGGACAGCCATCTGTCAGATCTGCATTGAGCAGGGGGGTTGGACTCAATGGCCTTATAGACCCCTTCCAACTCAATAATTATATGATTTTACAATCTTATATTCCTCTTATCTTGCTGCCTTCCACTTTGCCCAGCATTATTGTCTTTTCCAGTAATTTTCTTCTCATGATATTCCCAGAGTATGGTAAACTGAGTAAGTGGAAGAAAATAAGGAAGCTTCTGTACATATTATAGGACCTTGCATTCTTTAGTCACTGAATAACAGCTCTTTATGACTGACTTGTGGACCAAAGCAGTGGGCCATTTGAGTGTGAGACGTCTTCACAAGCCAATTCTGTTCCTTTTCTTTCTTTGTTTGCTTTTGTTTTGGTAGGGATTTCCAGTTCAATACTCAGCACATGATCAGATGGCCACAATTAGTTGTGGCAGCTTCTGCATTTCTCTTGTGTACTCATATGAAAACAAGTAAGATTCTGCTCAATAGCTACAATTCAGAATAATAATAATTGTGTGCTGTCAAGTCAATTTTGACTTATGGTGACCCTTTTCAGGATTTTCTAGGAAGAGAGGACTCAGAGTGGTTTACCACCCCACTTTTCTGGAAACTCTTTGGGACTCTGCAGCTTGCCCAAGGCCACACAGGCTGGCTCTTCCCCTTGGAGGCAACTTTTGGCCCTGCAGCCAGATGCCAGATGCCTGGCTTAATAGAATATCTATAACTCACTTCTGTAACATAGTTTTGAGTCCTGGCCAGTTCTCATGTTTAGAATAGCAGGCCAACTTATGTGGCAACTACTTTCTCCTGTCTGATTTTGCATGCTCACATTCTCTGCAGTGCACAAGGGGTTCTCAGTAGACAAACTAATAATTTGTGGCAAGTGTTATGTAAGGATGGTTTTATGAAGGGCAAGTAAGGATTACAATGATGTTTAAAAATGATATAGAAGGGGAGGATCAGTGAGATCTCTGCCAACAGTTTGAATATTAAGACAAAGAAGGAAAGAAAAATGGGGATATATTTCCTCAGCTTATCGGCAAAGAGTGATTTGTTTCCCAGGTTGCATGGGTCAAAGTTGGTGCAAGAGATCTGCCAGGATCCTTAGTGCAGAGTGAAAAAGGCAAAGAAAAATGAAGGCATCAGAACTCTACTGGGGGAAAACACACACAAAATGTAATAAAAATAGTAACATACTGAGCAT